TTTCATTGTAGTGGACAGATTAAGTTTTAATGGATACTCGTACTCATAAGTACAAATTTTTCTTTAAGTATTGCTCTTGATTTATGCATGTGCTTTACCACTAAACTCCAACAAGACTAAAATTAGTAATCGTCACGCAACACTCGTTTGATGATCGAAAAAGGTTAGAAATGAAAATTGTTATCAATTTATTCACATTTTGGCATTCTTCGGGCTTATGTGGAAATCCCCCAGAGTGTATATGGTTATACTAAATAGACTTCATTTGACTTTATAGCTCTCATATATTTTACTGAAAAAGATATCAGCAAATAAAGTAAGTAAGTAAGCTAAAGGAAGGAACATTAATGAAAATTCATTTAAAGTTCAATGGTTTTTAATTTTCTTTCTATTTTATAAGTCGAGTGGGTGAAGCTCAAGTATTTTTGTGAGTTGGAGGATGAAATGCCATCCGAAAAGCTACAAGGGAAGATACAAAATAAATAAAACACATAAAATTTTAATATTTGACATTCTGGTCGCATATGTTATGTGATTTTTTGTACCTTTAGGGTAAGTTATGATTTTTATGTGATATTGTTTTTAGGACTAAAATGCAGTTTTGAATAAATTTATGGGAATTGTTTGGGGTTGGAGGTTTGGGTGATGCTATGGATTGACTAAAAGTTCGGTTTTGTAGTTTTAGTAGCTCAATAGCTGTTTATGTATTTTTGAACTAGTTTATTAAAAAAATCAAATTCAATCATGACTTTTTGGGAATCTAGAATGCTGTCAAATGTTCAAAATGGCGAACCAAACCGAAATATCAAGTCCAGAAACAAGATTTTCTTGACAGACAGCATAAATGAAGCTCTACAACATCCTCTCAACCTTTAAATTCTTAATTTTGTGAGATTAAAAAGGATACTTTGTAATTAGTAAAATTGATGTGATGGTCAATAAACTTCCTGAGCGAAATTATCTTCAGGATTACAAAAGGCACTTTGTCGACCCTCATTTTATTTATCTATCTACCAAAAACTATCTATATTCATGTACCAACAAAAAAGGCATTCCAATATTCATGTGAATGGAAAGATGTTACATTAAAAAATAATTCAGATAGAAGATGAATAAATAGACGAAGGTACTTAGAGTCAATTTGGAGATCATTTCTATTTGAATCCCACAAAAAAAAAAAATACAAAAATTTTCCATTTCCACCCTTCCTCTTGTGTGTTCACTTTACGAAGAAAAGGATGACATTTTCATGTTCATTTAATTGTGGGTATGAAAGTAGCAGCATCCAATATCGACATAAAGTGCATTTCATTCAGCCTGGACTATTCAAATATCATACACATATATACATAAATGTCGCTTTTTATGGATTGTACATGATGCTCCTTATTGCTACACAAGTTTGAGAGAAAATCAATAATTTGAGCATTTATTTAGGTCATCATATACAGCATATGTATATTATACACACACAAAAATGACTCCCTCTTTTTTATTTTTTTTATTGAAGAGTGATGCTGCAAATGGGATAATGAAGATAATTTTTATGGTGATAAAGGCAATAAATTCATAATGATTAGATTAAATTGACCTTTCATAAAAATGTCGAGATCAATTAGAACTGGGTTCATTTTACTGCCTGCCCAACTTGTTGGAGATATGTCACATGCAAGTAAGTTACATGGAATTAATAATGTAATCGTTATGATGCATGCAATTGAAATATTTTTATGACATCACCTTAACATTTACCATCGCCTGTGAACTTTTACTTCCGAATGAATAATTCCAAAAAAATTTCTATGTTCATGCACAATACACAAAAATTTATGTTGGCGGGGAAAAACCCACGTTCAATGGAAAAAATTTCTTATGTCCTAGTGCCATGAAAAAGGAAATTGGTTCAATGTCTGACTGTTAAAGCTTTATTCACCGTATATAAAATTTTGTACTAGAAAATCATTAATCAGCCACGCTAATGCTTTTGACAGTTTTTTCCTCCTTGCTATTCGGCAAGTTTTCTTCATAAAAGTAAAGCAAGCAGCAGCAAAACGAAATGAAAACGTGAAAGGCAGGTGGGTTGAGATTTGTAATGGTAATGGAATCGAAAAATGGAAGGTTAAGTGAATGAAGGTAGAAAAAGGTGAAATATAATTTCTTTTCGGACATTGCTTTGAGTAATATTCATTAGATTAGAAGTAAGCTATAGTAATGTATCGATCTGATTTTAGTTAATTTATAAATTGTATGTAAAGCATATCCAGTCGATGTTCAAAATGAATATTGAATGAATTTTGGTTCTGTGTAAAACATCCATTTACTTCTCACACACTATATGATCATCATTTATTATTACAACATGGAAAGTGCCATGTTGAAGGAAAAATCAATCATAATGAAATTTATGAACGGAAAGGAAACATTTTTTTTAACCACAATAAATCCTTTTTGTGGCATTTTATCGGTGTGAAGCGCTTAATTGGAATACTTTTAAAAAATATAAATCATATTATTTAGGAAAGGTTCTGTTTTAAGCATTTAAATCGTGCATTACAGCACGAATTTGAGGATTATTTACAATCAGTTTAAATAATTATGATGAAAAATAGTTTTCATTTTCTAAAATTAAATTTTCTTAACTTGATAATTGCGAGATTTTTTTAGAATATCAATTTTGAAAGTGAAAAATCAATTTCGAAAGTTAAAATTCTAATTTCAAAAGTGAAAATTCTAATTTCGAAAGTGAAATTTCTAAGTTCGAAAGTGAAATTTCTAATTTTGAAAGTGAAAATTCTAATTTCGAAAGTAAAAAATCGAAAGTGAAAACATAACTTCAAAAGTAACAAAAATTATATTTTTAAACTTAAATTCTCTTTAAGAATTATCTATTTTTGTATTGCTGACAATGAGTCAGTAACGACTAATAATGTCATTCTTCAAACAACGTCATAAGTAAACGAGTCCCTCATTACTAGGTTAAGACTTAATTACCTATATATCATATATCCAAAATCACGTGTGACATTCTACGACTATAATTATTACAATACTAGTTGTTTATTAAGAGCAATAAAAAAAAACTGAATAAAATTTGCATAAAATTTTCAACCTTTCCTGAATGCCTTAATGCAAAAATCGTGCAGTAGCTAGACACAGTAGTGTGAGGTCTTTGAATTATTATGTCAATAGACCATTTTGTTGTTATCCGAATTTGCATTATGAATATAAAAGAGGCTCTTCTAGGAAGCCATTCTATGATGCATAAAATACTTCACCACCCATAAATCTGAACTTTATTTTCTTTGATGATGACTTAAGCGTTCAATTCAAGTACTGAATGTAAAAGAGCCTTTCTACGAGTGAAGGTTACATGTAAGTTATGCAGTGAACTTATTTTTTTTTTGTTTCTACAAAAAAAAAACTGAGAGTAAAAAATTGCATTTGCTTTCGTGCCTTTTAGTAATTACAAAGCGAAGCTAGCAAACAAACTTTATGTATGTATTTTCATTTTCGGGTGCAAACTCTTATTTCCATTTTTCTTTGCAATGTTTATAACACACGAAAAAAAAACCTCGCGTACTGTCTTATTTCTATAAAAATGTGTGTTGATTTAAAATGAAAGGGGTTCCAGAGCTTCCTGTGATTCAAGGACATTCAATCACTGGACAATATCATTCATCGTCTTCATTTCTTTTCATTGCATTCAAGCGCGGTCATGATAGACGAAGAAGAGGAATAAAAAAAAATAAAATAAATTTGCATAACAAAAGAAATGAGTGAGAAATAATTGTATTAGTAAGTGAAGCCTTGAAATGAAGATATGTATCTAGTTTCATATTAAAATGTCGTCGCTACACATACACAATTAACCATTTATCATTTTTGATGATGTAGCATAAATTTTTTTTATTATGTTTGCATTATTTTGAATTTTCTACATCATCTTGTTGGATATATACGAAGTGTGATGAATAAGACAAAAGGAACAAGAAGAAGAAAAAAAAATGCCGAGGATGAGAGCGAGATTATGGATGAAATTGTTCATTTAATTTGATATGAACAAATTTCCGTGCAATAAACTTTTCCGCACTTCATTTTTTTGTTGTTGTACTCTCTTATTCCATCCAACTGCTGTTTTTTTTTGGTTAACACATGCAGGCACACACACACACAATTTACGCAAAAAATATGATAATTTTTCATTACTTTTTCACTTGATTCTTACATTATTCTTTCATTTTCCTTACACCATTCTGTGTTGCTATCATTGCAGTTTTTATAGGAAATTCCTTTGTTCTTTACTCACATAATGAATTTGCTACTCTTATTTTTACATTTCTTATTTTTTTCTTTTTTTATTTTATTTTATTTTATATATTTTTTTTGCACACACGACAACCGAGTGAAAATTTGTTTCCTTTTTGCCTTTCACTTCTTTTTCTTCCTCAACGCTGACTGTATGTAAATGAAAATGATCTTTTTCTTTTCTTTTCTTTCTCTTTCAAATGTTTCTAAATTTATAATTCTTTTCTCAAATTTTTCATCTTTTCTTTTCTTTTTTGCTTAATTGTATTTATATATATGTACGTATAGATCTATGGGCAAATATACAATAAATAAAAGAAATGAAATAAAAGAGTTTATCTCGTCTCGAATGAAGGAACACACGAGAAACACTGCCGCGGATTTTTTTTTTTTTTTATAAAAATTCTCTTAATGCGCTCTTGCTTGCTCTTATAAACGTCAAACGAGCTCAGATGGAAGGAAACTAAAACAGTTCGTCGAGGAAAATATTTTTTCTTTTTTTTTTGTGTATATTTAAAATGCTTCGTAGTTTGAAGGAAAAAAAAAGTAAAATAAAGGAAATTTTTTTTCTTCTCAATTTGCGCATGAACTGAGAGAGAGAGTTAAGATTTTTTTTGGATTATGAATTTGCGAAATTTCTTAAATTTACACACATGCATTGGATATTTTAATTGAATTTGTAATATTGACACTACCTGAGGCAATTATGTCCACTTTAAATCAACGAGATTATCAAAATTTAAACGAATGTTATCAAAAATGACTTTTTTTCACTTCTTTCTTCACTCATATTTTAAAAAACAAGATGCGATGGAATTGAAAGTTTTGAGGATGTTAAAAGCGCTTTTTTTGCTTATATCAACATAATATCGGTAGATAAATTTTTATTAATCCTTTATACCTTTAATTTAATAAATTTTACAACATTCCCTGATTTAATAAACTTTGTCTATCAACTTTACATATCACTTGGATAAAATTGTCCAATTTATCACTCAACATAAATGTCTCTCAGATAAAAAGATACAGCTGAATAAACTACGTTCCCTCAAAAATTACACAATCAAGTTATTCAATTCAGCTTGCATGACAAAAAATTCACAATTTTTTTTTGCTTATTTTATTAATAAGCTGCTAACTTTATCAACACACGCTATTCTATAAAATCAAGCTGCGAATGAATCTGTTGACAATATGAAAGGTCACATTTATTTCAAGTGAAAATTTGATTTTATGCATGAATTTGTTCAGTTGCATCAATTTAACGTATGTGAGTGATTGAAGTGTGTCTTGGCTGAAGCTTGGATGAATTTCTTATGAACGTTAGAGATTGTTTTGTTTATACTCGTGAAAAATCCTGTTTTCAAGGATGTGTAAATGAGCTGAGTCTTCTTTTATAAAATTTTTGATATCTTTTGTTTAGTATGATTTGGGTAGAGTTGGGCAATAAGTCGAATGTTTTCGAATTTACTCGAATATATATATATATATATATATATTTATGCAATTTGAGATTCTTGATTGACCCGATCAATATGATATCAATTGTTTTAAATTCAGAGGACGGATTAAGGACAAATCTGTTACAAACTACACGAGGAAGATAAACATTTGGCGAAGAACTTTCCATTCGAAAGCGTTTTCAACGATTTGACTAATTTGTTTGATTTGAATTTATTTTTGCATTTAAAAAATTCTAATTCAAATGACAAATGCAGTCATCAATAATGTCCATCAGTTTCATAATCGCACAAGAGATTTGGATAAAAAAATTATGAAATGATTAACATTTATCAGAAATTTATGAATTGGAATCTACAGCCTAAGCTGGAAATTATTAAAATTAGCTACTAATGTTAATATTTAATCAATCCTAATCTTTTTGGGATCGTGTGGAATAATTAATTATGAAAAAAACATCAGAATATAAACATCTAGCTTTGTCTTAGCTTCATTCTCTTGAGAAAGCGAAAGTGAAATATTAGATCATCTTTTTACCAATTTTTGTGTAGCTTAGAACTACTTAAGAATTCTAATTAATTCAAATAAAACCAGATTTGCTGAACAGGAATTAGAAAACATCCTAAAAAATGTCGAATATCAAATTTTCTACGTAACGGTGATGGTCCACGTTGGTGATTCGTGGAATAATAAAATTTTTACTGAAAATAAATTCTCAACGTTTCTTTTTCGTCAAGAATGTTGTTGAATGGTCTGTAAGATTCTTAAAATAAAGTTGTTTGAAATTGAAGATAATCATGTTCACGCTTGTTTTGATAATTTAGAATTTATTTTAAGTTTTGTGGTCTAGAAACCGATGGGATGAATTTAAATGATTAAAATGTTAGCTGACTTTATACAGGAGTTAATAATTGGTGATTCTTTATGATCGAGATCAATATTTTCAATAAAATGTTCTTAAACTTTCTAGAAAATCTTTCATTTTGGCGCGTTAAATTTTGAATTCTCGCCAATAAATTTTCAATTTTAAATGTTTTCAAAGTTTCAGTTATATAACTTAAAGTAAATCTATTAATGAACATTTAGAATGTTTAAAATAAATGAAATTGATCAATAATTCACATTAAACACGATTCTGTGCAAAAATTGAAGTATATTCATGGGATGTCTAGACATATTAATAAAATTGATGTTGGTTTGAACTTTAACTGATCAATCATGAAGATTTGGTGCATTAGTGTTTATTAGATTAAATAATATAAATATTTTTGCAAATTTTAGTGATTAAGGACAATTTTTGAATTTATAATAGTGGCAAATTTGACTATAAAAAAATTTTCTTTCAGCAATACTTAAATCACTACTTTCAGTCATTTATAACCTATCATAACCATACCCAAAAGCAACATTTACAACCTATAATTTCATACTTTTACTGTCAAAATTTCTAATGAATCTGAATGAATCATGAGCATCAACTATAATTTTCATTATAATGGTAATGAGACCTCTAATTTACAGCACACACCTTTGTCGATTTGCTTCTTTCAACATGCTAACATCATTGGTATTTCCGTTAAATATAAAGTTTTTTATGTGCTTGATAGAGATGAATCAAAGAAGAAATTCGCAGAGGTATAAAATTATGAAATTTTTTCAAAAAGAATGAGATGTTAAAAAAACTAGCAATTTCCGTTCTGATGTCTTAAATGGAATGAATGAATATTGCTGAGATTTTTTTGGGATGAGCAATGAGACCAGTAAAGAATAAGAAGAAGACAATCCAAAAAAAATTTATATAAAAATACCTCCAACAATATGAATAACAAGCAGAAATACAGAAGAGAATCGTTCTTAAAAACCTTGACCGTGCACTTCCAAAAAGAACTCAAAATGCTTCATTTCGAAGCCGTTGCAAACGACAGGAATGAATCGATGCACACAAGCGAACCAGAAGAGGAGCAATGAAGAAGGAAAAGAATTTTTTTTTCGACTGTGGAAAGATCATCGCCGTCGTCTGCTATTTTCTGCATTTAATCTTATGCCTTTTTTTCTTATTCCATTATATTTTATTTGATTCTTTTTTGCTGCAAGACAAATCAACAACAGTGGGTCTGTATGTGAAAGTAATATAAAAAAAGATACATATGTCTAAAATTATAATGAATAACGTAAAAGAAAAAAAAGATCGAGATTTAGAGTCACATTGAGAAGCAACACGGTTGAATATTTATATACACACATTATGTACCGTGCCTATATATCGTTACTGGTTCCTTTCTAAAAAGCAACACACATATTTGTTATTTTCTCACCAAACTCGCGACTTTTATATCATGTGGCAATGAAATAGAGTCAATCTGACTGAATATTTTATCAAAGATGCAAAAATCGAAGAAGCACATGCTCAAACCATCTTCATCCTTAAAGCGTCAAATTTATAATGAAGAAAATTATGGAAATAAACACGAGGTACCTGTTGCATTCTCTCAATGAATATATGTGTACGAGAATAAGTGAATGAGTACTTACAATTTATATTTTATGTAGTCAAAACAACAGCACAACACAGGAATAAAAAAAAATAAGAATTGAATATGAAGAAGAATGAAAAAAGAAAAAAATAAATGTGTACCAGCAGACAATGACGTCATGTAACAACCTTGATTCAAATATGCTTTTGCTTCAATTGTGGGCTTTTTTTGTTACAAACAATAATAATTTTTTTTCATGTATATTTTACTGCTATGCGCTGCGCACGATTTATTATTTACTTCTTATTCTTCTATCGTCAATCTAACATTGAAATTTATAATGAACTTCATAAAGTCTTTTTAATGTTGTTGACTGCTGAACATTTTTTTTTCTTTTCGTCGGTGTCTTGCCACAATACAGCAGCAACGCCTTGAAATCAGAATAAGAAACATTAAGAGAGATGAATTTCATGGTCTTCCTGCAGTGATTTTTCTTCTTTTTCTTCTAACTTTAAGTTGGCAAACAAGCAAAAGAAACTGAAATTAATTCGCATGATTGCCGAATTGTTGATTGTATCACTGACTCAAGATAAATATCGATCGATCTGGTTGAACAAAAAAAAATAAATTTGACTTTACTGGTGCTGTGCGCGATGCAACAATGTTCCAGGGATATTTATAATATTTCTTAACCCCATCGAAATGAATTACGATAAATTTGCACAGTCATAAATTTCAATAATTTATAAATTCGTATGTACATTTCGTAAATACATTTTCTCTTCTCTTTCCTTTATGGCATGCATCTCCTTCCATATTCTACCGTTTTTCTACTTCTTACCTTCTTACTTCTTCATCATCCATCCCATGTTCTCAACTTGACTTTGTACCAAAAATCCAATCTTATTATTTTTTTTTGTGCAATTTTATTTCGTTGGTTGATGTGCTGTTTATGCTGCATATTGTCTTATTTATTTTTGATGACTTTTTGATCAATGAGGATTTTATTACTGAATACTAAACTTTGTTCAATTGTCTAGCTTAGTTTTAGATACAGAACCTATTGTCAAGCTTGCAGCACACAGTTTAAGAATAACTTCATTAAGGAGGATACCAAGTTGGTAATTTGTAGTTTATCAAAAGATGACACTCAGATTATGTTAAATACAACAAATAAATTTTTGATTTTATAAAAGATGCGGAACTGATTAGATGATGAAACCAATTAGTAGAAACAATCACATTACAAAGGATTATCAAAATGATTCAGCACTTCATTCATCTTTTTGCTTGTTTCTTAATACAATTAAAATTATGCAATAAACTAGCAAGTTTAATATTTTTACCAAGTCATTCCTTCGCAGTGTTTCACCTCATTGACACAGTCTTGTTAGAGTACAGACTGGTTTTAAGTTTCAATCCTCTTTGTAATGAGGCTTGATAATTTACTTACAATCATGTTCAGCAGTCTATGAGAAATCAAGTTTTATGACTCAAACTTCCTCATCAACTTGATGTTCAACATAAATTCATACCCTTGCCTTTTTTAATCCCCAAAAAAATTAAAAGAATCTGCACTTACCAAGCCACAAACAAGCCATAACACAATTTTGAATGCGCCTCCAGCACCCCAATCCACAAAAAGCCATTCCCAAATGTAAACTTTTGTTGTTTGCTGTTGTTCCCCCTTTTTTATTTGCGCACTTTGTTCCTTTTACTCGCCACATCCAGCCAAGCCAAATGAGAAGAAAAATAAAAAATTCTCCGGCACACCAGAAAAGGAGAAAAAAAGAATAAATATGTATATATGTTATAGACAAGTCGAAAGACGTAATTTATATTTGAAGCAAAAAGAAGAAATATACAATAAGAATTCACAATATTATATGAACATGAGATCGTCGTTTCGTTAATATTTTTTGGGATAACATTCCTTTGTCGCTTTTTCGTTTGAGTTAATTAATCTGACTGACTAGCATGCACTTGCACAGACGTAGAAGAATGAATTCTTTATTTTTTTCCAACGCAAAACTCAAGTGAGTGAGTGAGTGAATAAGGTAGAAGAAGGGAATAAATTAGACATGTGTATGTGTTTTCTTGCAGAAAGAGATGCATAGCGACAATGTAAAAAATGAGCAAGAGATTTAAGAACGAAAAAGTATTCAAAAGAATGTAGATTTTTTGGAGATAAATGCATGAAAAATGAACTTAAAATTCTTATTATAAGTTTTGGGCGACTCACTTTTTGCATGAAGTGTTACCGAAAATTTATCTCTGTTGGCCTGATGAAAGGAAGTCATTTGTGGCAATTAAACTCTTTTTTAAGAACTGAATTGGAACTGAGAACAAATGATTGTTAATGAAGCTGTGATTTAATTTTGATTGTGGATTTTTACATTCTTATTGATTCTTATGGACTGTGGATTGTTTAAAGAGTTGAAAGAATTTATGCATTGCATGACATGCTAAGGAGTTAAAGATTTATGGGCCAAGACAGCTAAATCAGAATAATCTCAACAGCAACTTTGAATACTTCATAGGAGAGGCTTTGATTTAAACCATAAAGACTCTTAGATATGATTCTGTCATTTCTGCAAAAGTTAAGGTTCAAGACATCTTAAATCTTCTTTAACATCATTAATGGACAATCCTTCATGCGTGTACAAAAGATCTTTCAGCAAGAAGACTTTGTAAACTTTCATTACTCCATGTAATTAATATGAATGGATCAATACTAATTAAAAACATGCTCGAAAGCTTTAATGGATAAACTACATTAACAACAAGTAAAGCGCTATGCAATTTTTAAGCGACGATTAATTCAATTCCGATATCTTCTGATCTCATCTTAAAAATCTCGTCTTTAATTCGTTTCCCTTTTATTGGAAACTTTCGATCCCTTGGAAGAGAATTGAAAGGTTTTAAGCAAAAGTCATCAGACAAAGCTATCAGCAAGATCGTTTAGAAGTTGAATTTTGTATGCTCGAAAGATTCTGGAAAATTCTGGATAGTTTGATCCACTTGCTGTAAAGAATATCGCTAAAATATTATTTTTAAGCACAAAATTCTTCAAAATATTCAATAGTTTCCTAAAAAACACCAACAATTCGTTTACACCATCAACAATCTATTCTCCGTCAAAACTCTCAACAATCCTATTCCAAAATCTATCCACAATCATTAATTCAAAAAGCTATAAATAAAAATTTCATGACATAACAGAATTCATGGATCTTTTTTTATCATTTTTAAGTGTCATAAAAACCAGCACTTATGTAGTTTGTATAGATTGTTTTCATCCACAACTGTAGCTATTGGCTCTTAGACTAAGGATGACATCATTAATAATGAAAGCTTACAAAATCTTTCTCGATTACTTTCGGTTTTTATCTTTTATTGTTTGGCACACAAAAAAAATCCAATTTCGTTGAAATATTTTAATTAAGCATAAAATTCAGAGTAAAACCCTCGAGATGATGGAAGAATAAGAAGTCTGAAGTTAATCCCAACATGGTGCAAAAACATATTTCATATGAAAAATGAATTTTTCTACACAACAAAAAAAATATTATTTTTTTTTATGTTCATCAGGCATGCAACAAAATTCATATATGCTTGAAACTAATTATATATTCTACAATTATGAACACAAAATAAGAATGTTGAATTCAAAAATGGCTTATTGGGTTTGCCTTTAAGTCATAAGTCGCTAATAGAAAATCTATACCTGAAAAATGAATATAATAGAATTTTATTGGCAGAGTTGATCATTTTTATTGAGAAGGTTTTGACTGTAAAAATTATGTTTTTTGGAAGTACAAAAATGAAGTGGGATGAACATACATAAAGCTTTTCATGACACTGAACTAAATTTTTAAAATTTCATTTCTATCCTCTGCAAAGCCTTTGTCTTTTAGATCAAATCTGTTCACCCTTGATATAAAGCAGTATTGCTTATGCTGTAAAGTGAAATTCAGCAACATTGTGTGTGACTTTTTGAGAGTTTATGCATGTATAGTATGCAGAGTGTTGCGAATTTCAAAAAAAAGGTTCAAAACGCTTTCGTGTTTAAAAATATTTGAATATCAAAAAAATTCAAATTTCCAAGAAATTCATACAAATGTTGAGGATTAAAAATGCTGACCTTAAAAACTAAAGCTGTCTGCATCAATCATGACATTAACACTCGAAGATTTTGTTGTGATTTTGAAGGATTTTTTTGAGATTTAAGTTGTAAGTCTTCGAGATTTTACTAGATTATCGTCAATTATTCTTGGTGTTGACAACTTATGTGACTGATTGTTAGCATTTTCTGGTAACTTCCTGTGAACAATGATAAGCTAAAGTTTGCTTTGTTGTCATCGCACAGGTACAAGTAAGATTCAGCAGTAACCAATCTAGGGGATTTAGCAGGTCACAGCTGAATATTCTGAGTATTAATTTGACATTTACGTCTTAATGCGGCTCCAATAATTGCCACAATGATCCTCTAATTAATCCACCAATTACATTGGCAATTATCATCCATTTTTAAAGTTTAGGTGACAAATTTTAAGCGCCTATAATGAACTTTTGTCACACACATACTCATAAATGAAGATGTAGAAAGACAAGCATCTTAAAGACAGGCAAGCAGATAGCTTTACAATAGAAAAGTCAAGCTGAAGATTTAAACAGTAACCCTGGACATAACACAGTGTCTATCTATCAAATATGCAGATTTTGACTAATAAAAAATTAAATTAGGAATAAAAGTTCGCAAATTACGTCTCGTGCCACTAGCAACTTCCACCAAAAACCTGAAATGTTACCTGCTATTAATTATTGCGATTAGTCAATGAGCACAAAAGAGATACAATGAAGTATACTTTTATGTTTTAAATTAAACTAATACACATGCACAAGTGTAAATGGTTAAAGCTTTATCAACATCATCTCTAAACATAATTTGCTAGCACGAGAAGAGACCAGAAATGTTGATGTGTATATATGTGCCCGATGAAGAACGAAAATTCCCAAAAATAGCAATATTATTGCCAATACACAAGTTTTAAGTCTAATATTTAATCTAGAGTCAAAAGTTTGTGTTTGTCAAAAGAGCACAGCAAATGCTGGCTTTGTCTTTCATTCAGGAACGATAAAAAAAATCTCGTCTCGCCAATAATTCCGCAAAGGTATGAATTTTTAATTCTAACGAAGCGAGGACAAGAAGATTGAAAGATATTTGATTCGTTGCCTGGCTTGAGTGAGAGTAAAAGAAACTAGGTATGAATACTGTAGCCAATATTTGCCATTTATTTGACATTTCCTGCACAGATACATCAAATATACATCATGTCATGACATCATCGGCAGCAACATAGAATTTCACATATTAATTTATTCATTTCGATTCTTTCTCTGTCTGCATTTAAACAAAAAAAAATAAATAAATACATTAAAAAATGGTTTTAAGCATGCTGCTTGTGCCCTCGCAAAATAAAAAAAAAACTCTTTTTGCACTGTATGCGCGCGCGAATATTTATTAATGTTAATGTATATCCAGTTTAGAGACTCTACAACAACAATAATAATACTAATAACACACAAAAATTATATTATTTTTTTTTTGGTTAAGTGTGTACGACGAGGCTTTGGAAGTGAGAGAGATAGAGAGAAAAGTTATACATACAATTTTTGTGTGTTTCTTGTTATTTTCGACTGTGCCTCGGCCTTGAAATTTTTCAATAAAGACTCCGAAATAAAAAATGCAAGAACTACTCCTCGAAAGACGGTTAAGCTGTTAAGTCCTCCTTTATAGTGCTTTTTATATTTTATTTTTAAATAAGCGTGTTGATCACATTTTCAATCTTATTGCTGTATGTTCGCAGTGCTAATAATTTCATATTGATTTGTCTCAGAAAAATTTAATCGAGACATTAAAAAAAAATTAAATAACAAATAAAAGTGAAAATTTTTCAAGTGCCAGACTGGCCATAGAAAAAAAAGAGATATGAATAAATTTTGGGGGTCGTAAAAAAAGAGACTGTGTGGAAAAAAAAGTAAATTGTGTATTTATTTACATTGTATAACAATGCTAATTGAAACATATTAGTGAAGGTGTAAAGCATGTATCATACATTATGTGAAAGTGTGCAAATTCGATGGATATCAAAATCAACATGAATGGAGAAGGATTACAAATATCAGAAGAAATTTAGCCTCTTTTAGGCTTTGTCTTTGATAACATTAACGAAATTTTCAAATCTCGTCTCGTGTCAGACTTGAGATTTGGGCAATTTTTGTTTGAGTTTTCAAAACACTCTTTTTTGAAATTTATAAAATTAGACATAGCCTTAAGAGGTTAGGTAAATTCATGATACAATCATCGTACTTCTCATTCAAGAACGACATGCAAGAATTAATAAGAAGTAGTCAAATTCGCAAAAATTTGTTTACGAGCACATGTGGTCAACACTCATCAAGTTCGTTCGTTTCGTGTTCCGGGAGACGCCAACTAAAACTAGAGATGAGATATATATGTGAATACATATGAGAAACAACGCTTTTAATTAATGACATGTATATACATACATTTTTTTGGTCTCTCGGTATTAAATGAAATATAAAAAAAACGGTAATGATGAAGAAGAAGACTTCAGACTATAAATTCATTTCGTCTACTCTTCTTTGTGTTTCGCTGAATTCAACTAAAGAAGAAGGGCAATTTCAATAATGATGTGTGTTTTTCCATGGACTATAATACATATAGAAATCGAAAGTAAAACGAATGAGCTGAAAAGAGACATGAAAAAGGCTAGCCAAAAACAAAAATTAGTGCAAAAGCTAGCCAAAAAGTGCTTTCCGGATCATATAATTAGTCACACAACATTTGAAAATGCGGTACAGTGCCAAATGAAACTAATAAATGAATAATGATCATGTCTGTACCTCCAATGATCCCAAAATAACATTTCAAAAAGGAACGAAATCACCAAAGGCAAAAAAAAGCGCGATTGAAAAAGATTCTGGGAAGAGACGACAATGTCTTCTTATTGGATATCTAAGACGGTTTTAAATTCTGGCCTTTTTTCTCTCCTTTCTGTCTTCCTTCCTTCTTTAATGAAGATCATTTTATATTTTTTTATTATTTCATTTCTTCTTTTTCTTTCAGCTCAACCGTTCGATAAAACGTTCTGTTCAATTTTTTTTTTCTTGTGTGAGAGCTGCTGAAGCGATTGGATAGATAATCAATATGCAAACGATCATCAAAACGCGAATTATTTAACATTTACTTCATGGTCTCTCTTCATTGGGAAAATAACAAGAAGAAAAAATAAAAGACTTTTTAGAATTAATGCCGTAAAGCGCTTACTGGTTTTTGAAAAAAAAGAAAAAAACTTTTTGGCTTTGGCTTTGTTCAGGGGTGTAGCTAGGTTTGGAGGGTCTAATGGGGTGCTTCATACACAACTTAATATTTATGGATACAAAAGTTTCTTCAACATTAGCATCTATCAGCATTTGTGCTATAACAACCCCAACGTACACCTCAGACATCAAAGTAAGTGACTAGCTTCACCCCTGACTCTTCTAAAGACCGAAAAAAAAATATAAAAGTCACGTATGTAAATGTATATTTTTATGAAGAAGGAATTACTATTTCTGGCCAATTTTCATATTTTTCATTTCTCATTTGTTGCTGTTACCAAGAGTTTCATGTTCCAGATGTATGAAATCGCGACAATAAAGAAAATTTTGCAACTCTTTTGTCGTAGGATGATATTTATACTTTAGTCAAACTTTAGTGTATTGCCAAGTGCCACGAAATAAAATAAAAGGCCATAAATAAAAAATTTGCAAGCTATGAATATACAATGTATTTTTTGTTTCTTGTGTATATGGACACGAATCAAGGATAAAAATAAAACTTCCGTTATAAATAAAAAGAAATATATAATTTTGTATTCAATTGTTTCTTCTCTTTTTAAATTCATTGGCTTACCTAATTTCTGAGGCATTATTTTGCTGCAAGAGAACAATGCACGACTGACCGAATTTTCAGACTCTAATGTTCAATTA